ACCCTACCTCACCCCACCCTACCTCACCCCACCCCTAACTACCCAACTACATGCATGCACATTGGGCATCGGGACTTTCTCCGTTTTGAATTATTAAATTGTCTTCTCGCGACGCTTTTCCTCGCGCTTTGAACTAGTTTTGTGTAATCGGCTGCCCGTTTGCTGTGAAGGGTGTGCTGGTAGTGCGAGAGGACATAGACACCCAACTGTTGCAGTTCGCATCGATTGGCCTGCACCCGCATAATATACGCCTTCCCTCTTTCTCTGTCCCCCTCTTTTTCTCCCTTCTCGCCTGCTCGCCCGCCACCCCCTCCCCTGCTGACACAACAGAAGCTCACGCGGGAGACCTTGGGCTACAAAAATGTTTGCGGCCTCAGCTCGGATTTCCTTTCCGGGGCACTTGTCCGGGGTCCGGTCGTCGGCGCGGCGGGGTGGGGCGGGCGCAGTCAGACCCTGCTGCTGCTGCAGCGCCAGGCGAGCATTAGCCGAGCGCAGAGGGTTTGCCCCTGCGTCCGCCAAGAGCAGAGGAGTTTGTGCTCGTTGCGCAGCGCGCAGTGCGCGGTACGTATGGGTCCACTCGCGGGGTTGACATTTCTGCTCCCCGCTGAGCCGCTCGGCGCCGATATCATCGCAACCGCGACAAATGTCGCTGCGGCCGGCGGAGCGCATCGCGTGCGAGGCTCCAACTGCCAATGGGCCGGTAGGCAAGAACTTGCCCTGGTGCGTAGCACGGACTGGCTCTGTGGCTATTCTCTGTCCGCCGCAGGTCGTAGGATAGTGTTGGTTTGGTCGGTCGGTAGGACAAGACACACAATACTTGTGGAGAAAGGGTCTCTCTAGGTCTCGGTCTCTCGCCCGTTCTCGCTCGCGCCCTATCCCCCTCCCCCTCTTCTTTTCCTCGCTCTCTCGCTCGTTCTCTCTCTCGGATGTGTGCGGTGACTCGTTCACTGGGGCAAACACTACGCTGCCTGCCGCAACAATGGCTCGGCACACAGGATGCAGCCAGTCATAAGCGTAGGGGCTTCGGGGTAATGCGAGTCCGTCCGCCCGTCCGCGGCGGGGAAGGGGCACTCTGTCGGGAGTAAAGTACCCCCGACAGCCCACGCAAATAATGTTAACAAGGGTGCCAGGCTGGCCGGCCGCTGGAGCCCCTCCACTCCACACCCTTCAGACTGCAGCGGGG